GTGGGCTGGAAGTCGTCTTCTGAGTCCAGTGTCCCCTCAAACAATCCCTGCGGTCGAAGATTGTAGGTTTCTTGACATCCGCGTGATCACGTGTCTGTTTGAAATCGTCTATAGATCTTAGAGTTCCCAGGAAATCTAATTCCGGCCTGAGGTTATCTTGAGGTCTTTTAACATCTACTCTGTCACTTCTAGGAGGTTGATTATGATCTCTTGAACTTGAAGTTCTTTCAAATCAGAAACCATTAGACATCCTTTAGCCTCAGGGACCGATTAAAGAAACGCTCAAATCCAAAGACCACTTCCAGCCCATAAGTGGGTTTCTTGCAGATATCAGAAAGCCTTAAAGTAATACGAGACCTGATGGAGAATTGGAAAGACCTCGGCCTCAGCAGTACAGCCCAGGTGATCAAGCTAAGAAACTTGAAATTTTGTGAAAACCGAATGATATTTCTGATTCCTCTAAATCAGTCAACCTGTCAACAGCTAATATTTCTGATATTCCATCAAGTTCCCTCAAACTTTCCTTCCAGTCTTAGATTATCTTGAGGTTTTGTAAGATCACCTCTATCACCTCTAGTAGGTTAATAATCTCCTATTTATATTGAGGGTCCTTCAAGCTGCTGTTCATGATGAACGTTATCAACAGGCTTCTTAATATCAGCATGGCCACCTTTAATGGAAAAGTAGTCATCCCTTGATCTAGGCATCCACTTTTATTCTGCTTACAGTCTCACATTATCTCTCGGCTTCCTCACTTTAGGTCTCTCACAGTCCTGTCTGCTGGAGTGGGTCCTTATAGTCTAAGGATGTCTGGATGATAGCGATATCAGCTTGATATTAAAATAATTCTCAAATTTTCCATATATCAAGATAATTTTGCATACATACACACTATGCAAAATTATCTTATGTATAGAAAATTTCAAAATCGTCTTAATATGAAGCTTGAGCGACTAAAACATACTCCATGGTCTAGTCCACAAGAGAACTACACCGACCATTGGTAAACATGTTCCTAACTATATCATGAAGAATTGTACAACCGCATTTTTCTTCTTGAAAGGGTGCAAGAATTACATGGACAAATTTGAATCGTATTTTACCTCATTATCATGGGTTTGGACTAGACACACAAGAGAATTCATGCAAGTTATATTCAGTGGAAGGTCTGAAACAGAAGATTTCATAGAAACACATAAGAAATACAAGATAGGTTTATGAAAAGATGACTGAAATTCTTTCACTGATGGGTCTTAATAGTGCTTTTGTTTTTAATCAACATTTTTGTATCATTCATATTTAATTTTACAGTGTCACTACTTAAGTTTGCATCATTTGAATCTAAAATATGTTAAAATATGTATAACTGATGTTTATGTAATTATTGTACATCTGCTTCCACAGAGTTTGATGTTTATGGATTCAATAAACTTATGTAAATTACAACTTTTCTTTATTTTCATTCTTCTGAGAATCTTTGTGGGGGTAATGGGTGGCTGCTGCATAAGGCTGACATCCCAACAGCCATCTATGAGCAGAGTGTCCAGAAGATGTGGACAGCCTCAACATCTCACAACCTTATGTGCCTAAATGGCCTCTTACAAGGACAGCTTTATTTGCCTTTTTAAAGAGCTTTTGGTTTTCGCACAACCACATGATTCAAAAACTGCAGTTGTGCGACAAATGTGCTTCACTGCGCCAACCATGCACTTGGACCTTCTGTATCAGTAGTCAACTCATACTAGGAAACAGAAGTTTTTGTAATTCAACAGACCAGAGCTATAGTGCCCTATGTATCACAGACTGTGTTCTGTAGCAGCCCTGAAAGACTGAATATTCCAAATTAATCCGTTCAGCATTTTAAGACAATAGGCCACATTCATCCTTCTTTTTCACGTCATGAATTGCCAGGTTATCAATGCTCATAATTTACTGATACTTCATTACTTACTTACTTACTTACTCATGGAACTGAGCCCTTCTGGAGGAGCCGCCAATTCTGCAGCTACTCAACAATTTCCCAGCATTTTATGGAACCCAAAGGTTCATTACCGTGTTCACAAGAGCCTTCCACTGGTCCCTATCCTGAGCCAGATAAATCCAATCAATACAATCCCATCCTATCTCTCTAAGTTCCATTTCAATATTGTCCACCCACCTATGCCTTGGTCTTCCCAGTGGTCTTCTTCCTTCTGGCTTTCCCACCAATATCCTATACGCATTCGTCTCCCCCATTCGTGCTACATGCAATGCCCACCTCATCCACCTTGACTTCCATCATTCTAATTATACTTGGAGAAGAGTACAAGTTATGAAGCTCCTCATTATGCAGTTTTCTCCAACCTCCTGTCACTTCATCTCTCTTCGGTCCAAATATTATCCTCAACACCCTGTTCTCAAACACTCTCAGTCTATGTTGTTCCTCCCTTAATGTCAGAGACCAAGTTCCATGCCCATACAGAACCACAGGCAAAATTAGTTTAGTATATTCTATTTTTTATGTTTTTGGACAGCAGATGAGAAGACAAAATGTTCTGGACTGAATGGTAGGAAGCATTACCCGAGTTCAATCTCCTCTTAATTTCCTCCTGAATCAGGTTTTGATCTGTTATTGTTGTTCCCAAATATCTGAATTGTGCCACACTTTCAAAACATCTGTTTCCTATCATTATGTCATTATTTTGCCCTGCATTTTGGTGATGAGACAGCAACATATATTTAGATTTCTGGTGCAACCTCCTTAACAGCATCAGTTAAAGTTTGTGTGTTTTTATGGTATGCATTTTATCAGCCAGTGGACTCACAACATCAGCATAGACCAACAGCTGATGTGTCCCATTTAATTTCAGTCCCACCTGGTTTTCATGGACCTTCATAATGGCATTTTCTAAAGCAAAGTTGAAAAGGAGTGGCAATAAAGTATCTCCTTGTTTTAGACCATTCTGGATAGGAAATTTATCAGACAAAAATGTTTACCTACATTGACTTTACTATACGTTTTGTTTAAACACATTTTAATCAACCTAACTAGTTTCATGGGTATCCCAAACTCTATCAGAATATTGTACAATACTTCCCTCCTAACTGAATCATAGGCTTTCTTGAAGTCTATGAATAGCTGATGTACTGTCTCATCGTACCCCCATTTTTTCTCCAATATCTGACGAATGCAAAAGATCTGATCTGTAGTTGATCTGATACGTCGAAACCCACACTGATGATCCCCAATAATTTCATCTAAGCTACATATGCTCAATATTCAATCTAACAGTTCTAAGAATTCTACTAGTGCACGATAAAAAACAGTTTTGTAATATGAAGCAAAGTTATGATACCTGGTGATGGTAAGTTGACCGTTTACCAAACCAAAGCGTACTGAAATTGATAGAACATTTCAGAATCAGTTAAAGATGTCTAGAAGTAAATAAAAGTAAAAGGTAAAAGTATTGCCTGTGCTTAATGAATTAAGCACTATGCTATGAACGCATATAGGGGAGTGCATGTATAGATCCACATTTTCTTAACCTCAGCAGTAGCTGGAGGTGGGTGGTCAGTTTCATGTCCCGGCCGCTTTACTCCCAGGAAAGAGCCCTTGGTACCGATTGGATAGGAGGTTGGGTGGACCCCAGACCCCAGAGCCTATCTGAATGCCTTGGAGAAGATAAAATTCTTTACTTTACTGGGAGTTGCACTCCCACCCCTTGGTTGTCCAGCCCGTAGCCAGTCACTACACCAACTATGCTACAGAAGTATTTAAATTAAATGCATGTATTTCATTGGCTGTGACAATTAGCTCTGTTGACCCCATAGTTCTCTAAGCCAATCAAAATTAAATTAAGTAGGGGTTCACATCATTTTAGTCAATGATAGTTAACTTTGGGTGACGCTCCACAGAAAGTCTTCAACTAGCCTTCATGTAAATGAGACAAGGGTACGCTATATAACAACGGTGATAACAAGTGTAATAATATCAGCCTCCAAGGGCTGATTATGTACCTAAGTGTAGTTCTACAGTGTAAATAAATTAATTACTTTGTTAACTATGTGATCCAGTGACTTCTTTGTATAACTATCTCGTCAAAGCAAGACATGTAAGCAGCCTCCGTAGTCTAGAGGTAACGTTCCTACCTCATGACTCGTAGTACGCAGGTTCAAATACCCGGCGGAGGTCGTCAAATTTTTAAGGGCGGAAAAATTCAGGGAACAAGTCCTCCGGGAGGGACTTTAAGCTGTGTGTCCTGTGTCGTAACTTTACGGCACGTAAAAGAATCTCATATCCCCAAAGGGTATCACTGAGCCAAATTCCAGGACCTTTCCCGCCCAACAATAGTCTCTAAGGCCTCTGATAGATGGGGGAAGCATTATAGACACCGCTAAGCAAGTGGTCGAACTCGCTTGCTCGGCAGGACTGATGGTACGCACCATTTATCGGTAGGGTATAAAGACTGGTAGAATATCATAGAGGGAAGCACAACAGATCAAACTGGTCACGGTGCATGGGGAAACCCACCCTCTCTAAATAACTAACTAAGCAAGACATGTAAAGCCCTGTGAAGGAATTCTCATGCTTGTCTACTTAACATCGGTCCATTTACAATTCCACACAACTCCTGACTGACCTATTTGTGATTTCTCAATCACATGGTGCCCAAAAAGTGAGGAAGGAAAGTAGCTAGAAGACCAAATGTGACCAAACAGCCTTGAACCATGTAAGTACTGCTGGTTCTTTGGGGATCAGGTGGCCAGAGTGGAACTGACCAACCTTCTCCATTTAATGCAAGGTTAAGAATGTATTGATCTTTCCATCCACAGGCCCTGTAAGCCTTCATGTTGCAGGGATTGAAAATACCTTTCCTGTGTGTTTTCCATACCAATCAGCGAAGGCATATGCAGGTGTGAAAGTCAGGCTTTACACACACTTATCCTTCGTACCAGGTAGAGATTAGTAATCAGATTCATACTAGTATCTGGGTGATGCTTCAATTACACACTAGACAGAGTCCGGTTAAAATAACTGATTTTCATCTTTTTCTGTACATGTGCGACATATATGAGCTTAATCCATGAACAGGACACTAATCCATAAATGTTAATGGTATTTACACAGTAGTGGAAAGAAGTAATATCAGATCAATCAACAAATGCTGTTTAAAATTGTGTAACTGCAAATGGAATTCTATTTGATGAACAATCTAATATATCACATTACCATAATATTTACACAATTCTACACATCATCAACAACTACAGAACAGTTTAATTTAACTGCAATTCTATACCAACATTCAGTCAGAGTGGGTATGTCTGTAGTTCTTGCAATTACACTCAGCTACAAAACAGTATACATGTAAGATCTGATTTGTAATAAGTATATTCTATATATGAAGCAAAGAAAACAAGAATGAAAAATGATGGAGGTATAAAACACAATTTCAAAACCTTTCAATAGCCCTGTCAATGACAATGATAATTACTACATCATATCAATGTGCACATAGTCATAAGGGTCCATAAATGAAGTAAAACATATACTCCACCTGAACAATGTGTTAACTTATTCTGCCTACTTGTCCATCAACAAAGAAAAAGAGTAATATTATTACATAAACTATGTAATCTGAGAGACAATTTATGATTAATGCCTTTATACTGTATCTGCTATATCCCAAATGTTAAATTATGTTTGAAGTATGTAATAACACCATACTATAGTTACTAATTATTATTCTCAATGGGAGATGAATATTCTTGCTCTGGTCTAAAATTATACATACTACTCGATCACTGCCTAAACCAATGAAACAGCTGAAGTTCATGTAGACTGAGTGTCATTATTTTGACCATCTTTAGCTGCAACAAGTAAAGCTTCTATTAGGGTATGCACAGAACTGTTACTGGTGTCACCACCAGCAGCACTGTCCTCAGTTAACATTATGCTAATCACTTTAGATGGTTCATCATCTGCTCCACTAACATAATGTACGGTGCCACTGTCCCCGTCCCTTACATTCTGAACTCCTTCTTGCACCTCTACCATTTGCTCTTGTATTACACTTGAAGGGCAGTCTTCTATCACTTCTGTAGTCCCTGATGCATTCAGAGCGGCCTCATCATAACCCTGCGTTTCAATAACAATGGACCCTTGATCTTGTGACCCCTCTGCTTCTACAATCTCCAGCATATCTTGAGAATTTACAACATGAATAAGGTTTGGGGCTAACTGCTGCTGAAACCTTGATTGTACATGCTGAAGGGACTGCATGGCACTGCCTTCTGAATCAGAGCCACCGAACTGAATCACTACAGTTTCAATTTCCCCTCCCTGCTTTTGATTAACCACTTGAGCATATGACTCAATGTTCGCATCCATTTTTGTTTGCCCCACTTTCATCAAACTTGATAAATTTAAGTTTTTAACATTAATGAATTTAATTCCTTCCTGCTTTGAAACATGGTTAACATATGGTAAGGTAACTTCTGGGATCACTGCCTCTCCTACTGTGTGTTCCTTGTTCTGGATGGACTTCACTGCAGCCGCTGCTGCTGTTGGGTCATCCATAGCCAAATCATCCTCGCCAAGTAAGGTTTTGGTCAGGGTTCTCAAACGGTCTTCAGCCTCTACTTCCTCTCCTATTCTTTCAATATTATTTTCATCAAGTCCCAAAGCACCTGGAATTGGATGGATGAACCGTACGTGGTTTTCCCAGTATTCACGCTTCCCAAATTTGAAACGACACACCTCACACACATAAAAGAGCTTCTTATCATGATTCATGAGATGCCATCGAAGATTCTTCTTATCCCCAAAAGCTCGCTGACAACGACAACACTTAAATGGTTTCTGTTTATTGTGCACAATGCGTACATGGCGTTCGACATCACCTTTGCGTGTGAATCTTGCGTCACAAACTTCACATCCAAAAGGTTTCTCTCCTGTATGTGTTCGTAGGTGTTGTCTGAATGAAGATGGTTTCAGTAGCTTGTGACACTCATTACACTCAACCTTATCATCAGGGCTCAGCTGACTCAGTTTCTGAATTTCATCTTGACTCAGCTGACCTTTCTTATATTTGCGTTTCACTTTCAGTAGAGTTGTATTTCCCTCCACCCCATCATGTTCCTCCTCAAACACAGTTCCCTCATCAATGCCAGCATGCACATTCACATCTATTTGCACACCCAACCCTTCTTCAGGATCAGATTCAGGTTCAAGATGAATTCCATCTTCAGGTAAATTCTCCTTCTCCCCTTCTGGTAGAGAACTAACTTCTTCCTCCTGAAGATCCGTCACCTCATCTCCTGCTAATACATTCTCCAATTTAATTCGCTTCACTATACAGTTCACATTCTCGAATTCCTCTTCACAGGCCACTGTCAAAACAGTTTCACTTCTGGAACAAATTTCACCAACAGCTTTCGATGTTTCTGTTTCATTCAAATATTGCGTTCTAAATTTCTTGATTCTCTTCTCTTTCAAGTCCACAGTTTTGAGAGCAGAATCTGTAAAATCAGATCCTGGATTCTGGTTTGGGTAATTTTTTTTTGGTCTACCACGTGGCCTTTTCTCTAGAGACTCAGCACTCTTCATGTCTGACTTCCCACTTGGATCTATCAGTTCAGTCACTGTTACAAAGTGTGTAGGGACCTTGCCACCTCTTTGCTCCTTTACTGGTTTTGTAGCAGGCATGGCCAAATGTGAACCAATTTTTGAAAAATAATACTCAAAATCCTCATCCAACCTTTTCTTTGCTATTTTTCTACGAAGACCGTAACCACCATTAGATCGTTTCTGTCTGGAACTCATGGTACAGTAAGCCTGCCTGATCCTTAGCTCCCTTCACAACCTACAAGCAAAGAAAGAGAGCTGATTCAATATGAGTATTAAGTTATCAGTGAAAACAGTACATACATGTGGCATGAAGTATCTGACCATACAAACTGATGAATTTAGGAGTTTTGTTAAGGTTTGAAAGATTGGAAAAGGATCTCTTCTCCAACAGTATAATGTTCTTACTTGGAATCTTACAGATCCCTGTGGAAATCAGAAGACTTTAAACACAATTATTGTTTTAGATTATTAACCCTGCATCTGATTACTATAAAGCCAAATGTAACATGATCTGAGAAAATTAATCAAAATATCAAACTTACAATACTATCTGGTTTGCATTTCCAGACTAAAATTATAATAATAATTATTAAACAACAGCATTCAACAAAGTAAACTGCACAAATTCCAAAATCTAAAGGATTTTTGTGAAAATTCTATATGTTAACACATTCTACAAACATTCAAAACTATCTCACTCTAGCATAATATGCTTCATCTTGCTGCATACCAGTGTGACTGCTTCCCTTCAGCTGAAGTTACTAAAGCAAATGCTTATATTTTTAGTGTGAATCAACATCATTCCACATTCTTTAAATCTATGAAGTTTTTTCCAACATAACTTCAAATGAAAATTGAATCAACTCCCTTTCACAGACTTGCTTCTGCTGACTTACAAAAACTGAATACATTAAACTGTCGGTTATTGACATCCAGATTACCCACTTTGCATTTTAACCATGGAACCTTCAAAACACCCTAAACTGTTAATTTTGGAGTAGTGCTCATTGCATCTGTTTCAGTAATGTGTGTCAGTGATGCTTTTACAATAATTTGCAGGAAACTGTATGCCTTCTAACACTGTTGCAAGCTTTCTGTCTTATCATCCTGTTGCTTTCTATATGGCCCACACCCTGAACAAGAATTTCTTTCATCTACTGGAAAGGCAATGGTCTCAATATTTAGTGACCAGCAGGCTCTACAGTGATAAATGTTTGATGTGATTTTTGGAGTTGAATGCAGCATCGGTAACACATATTTCTAGAGTTCTGGATTGTCCTGCTTTTACTTCACCCCTCAATTACAGTGGATAATCAATATTTCACTGCAGAAGGATTCACATGATTACAGAACAAATCTCAGTATACAACAAGCCCTTGCTGCCACCTGCTCAGGATGCAAGCCAAGTTATATGCTTGGTGCAACTAAATTATACACTGCATCCATACACTACTTTACATTTTACTGACAAGGTGTAGTCATGTGATATGTCTCTGTATTCGTGATAGAAGGAGGTGATGGATATTCCTTCTGTCACACCAGTTCATACATCAGTAAACTTAACAGAAGATCTGTCTACACTGTGACACAGTAAAATAAACTGACTGCTCATTGATATTCTTTTTTTCTGCCACAGCTATTCACAGTGAGACAGAAGACAAAGACAGGAATGCAAAGATCACTTCTTCCAGATTATAACAATAAAGACATGGTGTTATATGTACACAATATTGTTCCCAGCATGGATATCAAAATTAACGTTTATATAGTGCCTAAATATCTACCCTGGCTCACATAAAGCACTTAAATTGACTTCAAAAATACAGTGCCTGTAAAGTATTTCCTTATCTCATAATCGGCATTTTGTACAAGTCCTTCCTCCCAATAAGGACAGCCTTTGAACTTAGCTTTTAAGATGCCCTGTAAATATATAATCATATGGACTGAGACTTTGAAACATGTTCACCTCAAGTCATAGCTACAGCACCTATGCAACTTGGCAACTTGGTCCAAGTAATAACACTTCTAACTTGTATTTGGCTGGTGCCTAGTTTCAATCTTGGACAGAACACCAAATATCGTGAGTGAGATATTTTGTGGTTTTCCTTAGTCCTCCAGGTGAATACCTTGACACTGGCCACAATCAGTTCATTCCATTTCCTTTCCAAATTACCATTCATTAATCATACTATTATTCAACACTATACAGTGTGAACTACTGATGGCATCATTAGATAAAACATAAATAAATATGAATACATGAATAATATGTTTAAACACATACACAGTGGATCCTGGAGCCCTTACAACTTGGTAATATTCATTTTCCTATTTATACCTCTATAGAGTACATTATAAATAACCTACAAAGGCTACTGATGGCAAAAGCATATATCTGCAAAACATTGGTACTGGAAACAGCACCAATGGATACCAATACACACAATTTGCAAAATCTTGCTATGCCAGATGACAATTCAAATTGTCAGTTCTGCCAGCAATCTCTACATTCACAACACGGCCCCTGGGCAATTATTTGTATTCAACACTGGTGAGGGTGCAGGCAAGTTCTTGGCACCTTAAAAATTAGAGTTTGTAAATTAAAGAAATCATAACTGAAAACTCTAGGTCCTCCAAGAACTACAAACCCACTACTGTAACAATGTATATGTATATATTACACAAACTGAAGAATGACTTGGTACAAATGGGTTACAATGAAGTTAAAAAAAGAGATATGGTCAGTTCTGATTATAGAGGCCACAAAATACCATACAAATTGCTACTCTGATTTGCAAATATACGTACATACAGCTACTTCGTCATGCAAATATACTTATATCACTAATACATGTACTAATACTTACACCAATTTGAGAAGGCAAACAAGTGGAACGGCATTGGCGCTTTTCAACAGATCATATGCCAAGAAAATTCACACACAGAACAATGCTTTACAGGTGATGATAAGAGTGACACACCAGCTCCATTTCGATGGTGGGTAAATTGCTCTTGACGTAGATTATCACTCATGAATCTTGCGGGAATACTTTTCATAACCCAAAACAGTGTTTCTAAATTGTAGCCACTCTGTAAACAAAAAATAAAAAACATACAAAATAATTAAAGTTTCTAAACTACATTTTAATAGCAGACTAGTGTCGTGGAGTTGCAACGTTTTATAACGTTTGGCAAAATACACAAATTACTTTCATGTTATTTATAAGCGCGTCAATATCTATTTAATGGTTCTGATTCCTAAAATCCTGTTCTGTTTCATACAACCACAAATCTTCATTTTTCAGTAGTGCTCGTATAATATTAATAACATGTGACATCTTACATTTACATTATTCCAGTCTTCAAATGGCTAAGTTTTCATAAAAACATGTCACGCAAACAGCCATCTTGCTTGTTCCTCGGCTCCTTGCTGGTATTTAGGATCCGTGGCTCTCGAGAATAGTCAATATGGCCAATTGCGCATTGAAATGTGTTTCCTGCGTTATATCGCAGAAGATTTCATATAGACCGCGCTGAGAATCCCAAATCTTACAAAGTGTTTTCCTCGTTTGCCTCGTTTCGTGCTACATTCGGATCACTACAAAGCAAAGTTCGATCAACAAATATTGTTAACAGCACACATAAAGAAACAGACCAATAGATTAAAACAAATAATTAATAATAAACCACATATATATTTTCTTACATAAATGTTTTGTACAGTGGTCCCATATTGAGTAACTCAACAAAATATGTATTGCAGCTACTGAGCCGTGTTCTATAATGTTGGGACGATTGTATATTAATGAAATTATTGATTTTTTTGATATTATCCAGCGTCATGCATTTTATGTTGTGTCTGATGTATATATCCTGTCTCGTGTTGATTCTGGTGCCCGGAGATCAGGCCCAACTGGGCAGGCTTTTACATAAGGACGGAAACGCAGTCCGCCCTCCAAATTTTTTCTCAAATAAAAACACAATGGATACTGTCCAAAAATCAATAACGTCATTAAGTTGTGGCTTGTGCTTCCAGAAAATGTATTTGAGCAGACGACTTACTTCATGGCTATAAAAAAAGTACACGTTGACATTTTTATGGGGAAATCTGAAAATAGAAGAGGCAGTAAGATCAGGAGAGAGAATCCGTGCCGCAGATGGAGCTTGGTATTGCTGTAACTATTGACTGTGTTTTTAGAGCTGGCTTGTCGCTGCGATAGAGAGGTATGGGAAAAAGAAAACGGGCAGTGGTTGCTTTATTGAATTGCAGCATCGTGTTGCACTGAGTAGTTCTGACTTCGCTTTCTGTTTTTTGTCGTCTATGTGCGACGTCGGTTGCACACAGACAGCAAAAAAGGGACCGCAAATTCAGTGGTTACAACCATATTGCGGGAATGAGAGATTTCTGCATTGGACTGTATAAAGCACTGACGACGGAGTCGGGAACACGCTACGAACAGAAAATTCATCCAGCATAAAAACAAACCACAGCAAATACACCCCGCCCCCTTCACACTAAGTACCCGCGTTTTTAGAAATCGAAAACATACTGATCCACAATGGCGTATATCCATTGCTGTATAACTTGCATTACTACATACTAACGCCCACACACCAACATACACATGCGTGCAAGACACGGGGAAGGGAACATCATGATCCTTTGAACATACCAGCAGTAACAGTTCCTACACGTACGTTATGCGTATAGAAATAATACAAAATATTTACGTAAAAATATTGTGGCGTGCCGCCAAAAAGCCTGAATGGTAGAGGAGATCGGGATTGATTTCATAGGCAACGAACAACATTGCCGTGACAATGCCTACGAATCAGAACGCATCCATTGCTATATAACAGCTAGCAACGGATTACTTGAAGCAGGGTTTGCATAGCAGCGGGCGAAATTAACAGTTCGACAAGGTATTCCTTATTTAGTCCGAGTGCAGGTTATAACAGTCCAACGTTGGCCAGAGACCAGCAAAGTTCTTATCCGACTTCAGCAGCAAAGAGTTCGTATCCGACAAGGAACCAAGGACAGCTGAGCTCCGAGCTGAGCTGAAGACACTTCACCAAGATCAGCGGTGCAAGTAATTGTAGTAGTGAAGAGGAAAATCTGTTAGTGTAAAAGTGACTGTCCAATAAAATATTCGTTCAAATCCGAGAACCCGCACAAATGTCTTGCTGCTTTACCTAGGAAACACCCTACAATACGAATACACCCCTCAAAGTACCAACCAGTATATTCGCGACTTATATATGTACGTTTTGTATCTTTCAACTTTACAAACTGTAGATTTCACATTTTACATCCCCCGTTAGAAAACTTTATTAATTAACAACTGATCCACCTAAAGCTACATATTGTCACATAGTATGGAGGGTATGGAATGGCAAGAGACGGGGTCTTATTTGGATTTATTGACTACTTACAGGTCGTAACTACAAACAACTGGTTCTCTTCTCCCCGTCGCTCTGCTCTCCAACCGCCACATCTTCCCCCTTTCTATGGTTGCTCGTCTCGAGCAGCTCCATGATAAGGCGCAAGCCGGTCGAGGTGTACAACTAACATCCTCGACCTAGGGGTCTTCTGGATTCGGTAAACCACACTGCGGGCTGAGAAAGACAGCATGATTTTGTAAAGTGTGGACATCAGCGATGAAGTTTCCACACCACGGACGTTCTTTCGGCCTCATTTACTTGATTTCGCACAATATCTCGTTATTTTAAATATTTTCTTCAAAGATATTTTATTGCGTACACATTACCACTAATATCAGAGCTCTGCTTTGTACCTACTTCATACTGGCTTCTGTATTACTTGCTTTTCAATCCTGACAATGGGGGCGACATGTTCCTCCGAAACGTCGGTTTACTTTCAGCGGACTACACGAAGTTATATCCCATTATATAGAACTCTTCACAATCATGAGGGAGATATGAAGTCTATCGACTGCCTACGGGAAGAGTAAAATACGTACCTCGGGTGAGAAGAAATGTTGGAATACCTGAATGAAGAAGAGATTGATGGGGACATCGGTCCTTTATCATAGCCGTAAATAAATCCCTTGAAATTACCAAAATGTACGGTGTCAAATTATATTACATGACTACATATATATTTATACAATGTCAGCTTCTGTTGGTTTATTGCTTTGCCTACTATTCGGTCTCGAAAATGGAAGCGATATTTTCTTCTGAAACAGAGTAATGAGTCAGATCACTCATCATGTCATGTCATGCCAGGTGGCTTGGGTTGCTGCAAATGAATCTTGAGGGCAGGATGGGGTTTGGACACGTAGACTGGGCAGCAACACAAGAAACATATTGTGACATGTTGCGCCGAGCCGAGCCCCCCCCCCCCACACCCGCAGGGACGCGGCGGGGGGGGCNTGAAGAAGAGATTGATGGGGACATCGGTCCTTTATCATAGCCGTAAATAAATCCCTTGAAATTACCAAAATGTACGGTGTCAAATTATATTACATGACTACATATATATTTATACAATGTCAGCTTCTGTTGGTTTATTGCTTTGCCTACTATTCGGTCTCGAAAATGGAAGCGATATTTTCTTCTGAAACAGAGTAATGAGTCAGATCACTCATCATGTCATGTCATGCCAGGTGGCTTGGGTTGCNCTTTACTAAACGTTTCCTGGTAACGGCTCTAATAATGGCTACTCCTCTGTTTCCGTGCTCAAGTCCTCTCTAAATGGCAGCTCCCTTACAACTGAACTATTCTTCAGATGCACTTTACGATTGGCAGTTTAGCGCCAATTAGTACGTTTCGGCGACAAGCCCCTTGAGACTCACGACCAGCAAATTCTATTTTCCAACTGAACATTTGCGGTTATAGCCCTTATGTAACATCCTCTCTGATAAGGTGATGGGTGTGTCGTTTACAATTGCTGCTGGTCCTTGCCAGCGCAGTCATTCCGAAGTCCTAGTCCTGCGGGACTCATGGCCATATTTTACTGTCTCAGACTCAAGATTCCCCAAACCTGGAGGGCCAGGTCCCCCTATTTATATCCCCCCGGAACAGGGTGGCCCGGTTATACCTCCGGCACTGGGTTCCCTTTTCGTCGCCTCTTACGACTCGCAGGGCTGCGGTGGAGGAATTAAACCTGCCTCCACATTGCTCCAGAGTCAGAGTTCTTTACTACTGGCGGTTTACCGTCACTCAGTTCGTCTTGGCGACAAGTCCCTTGAGGCTCATGGCCAGAAACTTATTTTCAACGGAACATTTGCGGTTGTAGTAGTCCGTATATAATATCCTCTCTGACGAGAGAATTGATCTGTCCTTTACAATTGTTGCTGGTTCTTGCCAGCGAAGTCATTCTCAGATCCGTGTCCCGCGGGACTCATGAACATACTTACTGTCTCATATTCGGGATCCCCCAGCCTGGAAGGCCAGGTCCCCGTACTTATATATCTCCCCAGGAACAGGGTGGCCCAGTTATACTCCCAGGCAGTGGGTTCCCCTTCCTTCACTTTTTACGATTTGCAGGGCTACAGCGGAGGTATTCGACCCTGCAGAAACACGGGATTGAGTCTGAGTCTTATGTTACAACCGACGGTCAGTCGGCCAGTCTGTCTTGAATTATAGAACTCATTTGGGGCTTAAGACCAGGCCTTTATTTCTGTCAGACAGTTGCGGGTTTTGTTGATGTAGGGCCCTCTCTCTGACGAGAAGACTGCTCTGTCGTTTCCAATTGCTGCTGGCCCTCCCCTGAGCAGTCATTCTCGGATTCGAGTCCCGACCATATATTACTGTCTCAGATTCGAGACTTCCTTTTCGTCGCCTCCTACGACTCGCAGGGCTACGGTGGAGGTATCTGACTCCGCCTCCCAGCACTCAGGATTGTCAAAGTCAAAGTCACATTGCGACTGACGGTTGGTCAGTCAGTCAGTCTTGGTGTCGAGCCCAATCTGGGGCTTATGACCAGACATTTATTACTGTTTAACAGTTACGGTCTTGTTATTGTGGGGCGCCCTCTCTGACGAGAGGACAGGTCTGTCTTTTGTCAGAGTCATTGTCTGCAATAGTAAGTCATTTGTCATAATGTAAAGGATATTTACATTTTACATGTCAATAAATGTATATAAAATATATACAGGGCATCTGTCGGTCCAGCAGACTATGCCTTATTTCTAGTAGCTTCCGCTACGACAGTTTAATCACTTGAACGGTAGTATGCTTGACCACCGCCATATTTAAGCCTCATTACATGGGAGTGTGTCAACTGTTCTCCTTATAACCCCTATGAACGGACTGAGTAGAAAAGTTTCTTACAGTATTTCTGTTTTTACATGCGTATTCGTTGCAGCGCGAACGTTTTTACCGAGCCGTGGCCTAGAAACGGCTCTACACGCTAGGATATTCAGCAAAAGCGTAATATAGTTGTGATATTATATGCATAC